CCCCATTTATCACACCTGCTCTGAAAAACTTCCAATGATGCCGATTCCACAACCTCCCTGGGCAATTTATTCCAGTGCTTAACCACCCTGACAGGAAGTTTTTCCTAATGTTCAACCTAAACCGCCCTTGCTGTAATTTAAGACCATTGCTTCTCAGGGGTTAACGCGAATTTTCTCCCTCCTCTTTGTAACAGCCTTTTATGGACTTGAAAACTTATCACCTCCTCTCTGTTTTCTCTTCTCCAGACTAAACAAACCCGTGGTTTTTTCAATCTTCCCTCATAGCTCATGTTTTCTAGACCTGAATCATTTTTGTCGCTCCTCTTTGGACTTTCTCCAGTTTGTCCACATCTTTCCTGAAATGTGGCGCCCAGAACTGGACACAATACTCCAGTTGAGGCCTAATCATTGCAGAGTAGAGCGGAAGAATTATTTCTCGTGTCTCGCTTACGACACTCCTGCTAATACAGCCAAGAATGATGTTTGGGTTTTTTTTGCAACAGTGTGACACTGTTGACTGGTATTTAGCTTGTGATCCACCATGACCCCCAGATCCCTTTCCGCAGTACTCCTTCCTAGGCCGTCATTTCCCATTTTGTATGTGTGCAACTGATTGGTCCTTCCTAAGTGGAGCGCTTTGCATGGGTCCTTATTGAATTTCATCCTATTGACTTCAGACCATTTCTCCCATTTGTCCAGATCATTTTGAATTTTAATCCTGTCCCCCAAAGCGCTCGCAACCCCTCGAAGGGTTATTCATGATAGCGTTCGGGCCCTGTAATAGGGCCAACCACCGTGTGGAGGGGGCTAGCTAGCCGTCACTTGAGCCTTCTTCTCTATTGTTATCTGCTGTCCCTCTTGAGCGTTGAGGAACCTGGACCATCAGACCTTTGTCTCTGCCCACCAGGCCCTCGAGGAAGGGTGTGAGCACACATATTTAGGAGTAGGTACTCCAGATATCTCCAATACTGTATTGTTCCTATCTCGTTATGAGCTTTTCTGGCTTTATTGCTGATCTTAATCAAAATCACCGCGGCTTTGCTTTGCCCCCGGTGCGCGTGCGCCAGACGCCCCGAGGTTCCCCCCAAGATTTCGAACTGCTTGGTATTAGCCTGATTCTGGGACAAGAACCTTATTCCCACTGGATCAGTTGGCCATCAGTACAAGTATTGTTAACGATGAATGGGCTCGGGCGACGCTCCCTGCCCGGGTGTGTATGACGGGCCAAACCGATCACCCCGGATCCCGGAGTTGGGGGGGTGCGGATCCGAATGGGCCAGAATCCGGGGAATAGCTAGAGGCCTGTGAGAGGATGTGTAGGGGCTGCCCCCTAGTGGAGGGTAGGGGAATTGTAGCCTGTGTGCTGGAAGAAGTGGGGTGTAGCTGGTTTCCTCCCCCCCTCCCCCCACCTAGGACGTGGGAAACTCAGATTCATCCCTTCCCCTGGAGCCAGCCATTCCCTGCCCTGGGGCCGGGTGGGAGCTGGTGCCCCCAGAGGGGAAACGGCCCCATTCCCCACCCCTGACCGTGGCGATCTTTCTTCCCTCGGCCTCTGTGCAGGTGCGACTGAGGTCCTGACGCTGCTCAAGTGCCTGCTACGCCCATACCAGTCTGGCCTGCAGCTGCAGAAGCTGCAGGAGTTGCTGCTGGGGAGACACGGGCTGGATCTGAAGCGGTTTGTCAGCTCCCAGGGCGAGGAGGACGTGCTCGCATTCCTGCGGAGGCGCCTGCCCGCGCTGGAGTACAGGCAGCCGGAGAAGGGAGCGAAGTGTATCGTCTGGCTGGGGACAGGTACGATGGGGTGTGTGTGTGGGGGAGAACGGGACAATAAATCCCACTCAGAGCTGGGAACAGAACCCAAGAGTCCTGGCTCACAGCCCCCTGCTCAAACCACTAGGCCCCACTCCCCTCCCAGAACAGGGGAGAGAACCCAGGAGTCCTGACTCCTCCTGGACTGGCTGTCAGAACTCCATTCCACAGGCCAGAGCCCTACCCCCAGTTTTCCATGGGGCCACTGGGGGTAGCTGAGACCTGGATTCCTTATTGTCTGACTCTCCGGCTGTGGGGCAGGCTGCGGGGTTCCCCCCAACTCACCCATGGCGTAAACCCGCCTTTGCTCCCGTGCATTGTGGGAAAAGTCCAGGCGGGTCCGGAGTGGGATACAGGCAGAGCGGTAGCTGCAGTGCATGCTGGGGGATGCCACGTGCCTGTTACCCACCCTGACGGCATTTCCCCCCGCCTTCCCCCCTCCTCTAGGGCAGAAGAAAGGCTCTGGATCTTTGCCCCCTGGCAGTGCCCGCCCCTTGCCTGGCTCCAAGAGGTGCCTCCTCCCAATGAATGCCGCGGAGCGCCCGCCCCCACCCGCCACCGCCTGCCTCAACCCCCGACTACCCAGTGCTACCACCAACCGGCCTCTGCTTCCCAGCCTGCCCTCGGCCCGGGAGCCCTTCCGGGCCCCTGCCGCCCAGGGAAAGCTGGGAAAGTCCCCAGGGGCCAACCCCCGCCTCCCAGCCTGGTTACTGAGCCCACCCCGGCCCACCGGCACCTGCTCAGGCCTGCGAACAGAGGAGGGGACCCACAAGTCCGGGACCAGGCCTGCCAGCGCCCCCTTGGCCCTGCGAGCAGAGGAGGGGACTCAGGAATTCGGGGCCAGGCCTGCCAGCGCCCCCTTGGTTCTGCGAGCAGAGGAGGGGACTCAGGAGTTCGGGGCCAGGCCTGCCAGCGCCCCCTTGGCCCTGCGAGCAGAGGAGGGGATCCAGGAGTCCGGGGCCAGGCAGGCCAGCGCCCCCTTGGTTCTGCGAGCAGAGGAGGGGACCCAGGAGTCCAGGGCCCAGCCCCCTGAGGACCTGAGGGAGCTGAAGCGGAAGGTGGGGGCCATCCTGGCCGGGCACCCCGGGGGCATGTCCCTCTTCCAGTTCCGTGCCGCGTACAGTGCCGCCCACCAGCACCCGCTGCCCCTGGGCCGCACGGCCTCCACCAAGCAGCGGCTGGCGCAGATGCCCGACGTGGTGAGGATGCAGGGCTGTGGGGTGCAGATGCTGCTGCTGCCAGTGGACCCCGACGGACCCCCCGGGGCAGAGCCTGGTACGTAACAGGGGTGGGGGGTGGGGGGCCAGCTGCCTTGCATGGTGTGGGGGGGATATTGAGGGGCTGGGCTGGGTCCCCCCCAAGGGGTGTGTGATTGGGGGTGGGGTCAGGCTGGGTCCCCTAAAGGGGTTGATGGGGCTTCCCCCACCCAGATGTTAAGGCCCCAAACCATCGGCCACTCTGTTGTGGGCGTAGGAACAGGGCCAACCCAGTGCTACGGGCCAGAGGGTCCCGTTGTGACTGGCTCGGCCGGTCCTCCTCCTTCCCAGCTCTCCCTGTGGCGGGACGTCTCCCACAATGCCCTGCTGGGACTGCTTGCTGTGCGGCCCACTCGGAGCAGCCCAGACCTTCCCAGAATGCACTGGGACATAATGCACAGCGGGGCGGGACGTTTCCCAGCATGCATCGCTGGTGCCGCGCTGCATCCCACTGGCCCAGGCATGCTGGGCATTTCCCAGAATGCACTGGGGCAGGTGGCTCATCGAGGGCGGGGCAGGACTCTGTCGCCCCCTGCTGGTCGGTCCGGCTCAGAGGATAAAACCCTCCAGCCACTGCCGGCTGAGGGAGCTCCCCCACCAGCCCAAGCAGCGTCTAGCGCTGAGCTTGGCAGGCCCAAACCCCGCGGGCAGGGGCAGGGGCGCGGCTCAGCTGTGGGGGTGGCACCGGGCTCTGTCAGTGGGATTTAACTGGGTTTGTTTTTCAAGGTCTCGCCCTGTGGATCCCACAAGAAGCTGCTGCCCCGGCTGGGGACCTCGACGACCCATCTGATCCCCCTCCCATCCCTGCAGCTCCCAACCTGACTGGGGACCCCGACACCCCAGCTGAACCCCCTCCCACCCTGGCCGAGATCCCTCTAGTCCTCACAGCTCCCGCCCCAGCTGGGGACCCCGACACCCCAGCTGAGCCCCTTGCCGTCCCTGCAGCTCCCGACCTGACTGGGGACCCCGACACCCCAGCTGAGCCCCCCCCCCCCCCGCCCCCGCCCCCCCCCGTCCTCACAGCTCCCGCCCCGGCTGGGGACCCCGATACTCCAGCTGAGCCCCCTCCCACCCTGCCCGAGATCCCTCCAGTCCTCACAGCTCCTGCCCCGGCTGGGGACCCCAAAGTCCCAGTCAAGCCCCCTCCCACCTCCGTGGCTCCGAGATGGGGGCCGAGCCTCCAGGCCATGCAGCGCCCAGAGGCCGCCCGACCTGAAGCCAGCTGGGAGTTACCCGACTTGGTGCCCAGCGCCCCCGTGGTTCTCTCGGCATCGGGGCCAGGCAGCAGCTCGTGGCTCTGGCTTGGGGCAGAGTCCCCCCCCGCCCCGGCTGATCCCGGAGCTGCTGCTCGCCCGGTTGTGTACCCCCCCCCCCGGGAGGTCCCCCCGGCCCCCGCTGCAGGCCCAGAGCCGCCCTCCCTGTGCCCAGCGGCACCGGGGCCACCCCAGGCCCGACTCAAGCGGGTCCAGTTGGTGCCTCCCTTCCAAGACCACCCTTGGGCTGGGGATGCCCCTCGGGCACAGCCGGTCCCTAAAGCCGTGGGTCAGAACCAGGGCACATCAGCGGCTGTGGGATCCCCTGTGGGCCCGATCCCTGCAGATCCATCCACGGGCCAGGCCGTCTCCCCTGCTAAGCAGCCCTCAGGGGTGGTCCTGGATCCCCTCCCTCCTCCAGAGGCCAGTGTCTCAGCGACCCCTGAGCGGGGCTGGCCAGACACCGGGCGCCCTGGCTCAGGTGGAGATATCGGCTCTCCTGTTGACCCCTTGCTGCGCTGCCATCCAGCCCAGCCGGTCCCCTCTGCAGGGACGACCCAGCCGGGCCCGTGGGCCGGGATCCCCTCGGCCCCACCGGCCCACTCGCCGCCACACCATACCGACACCTGCGTTCTCCTATAGCCACCGCTGGCAACTCGGGCTGGTGGTTCTGGGGTGGAGCAGATCGGCCTGCGGCCAACTCAGCACAACTCCCGGAGCTCTGCAGGAGAGGTTGGGAAATGAACCCCTGTGATTTCTCCAGCAGGGGGCACTGGGGCATTTCAGCCTCCCCCCCCACCCAGCCCCCTGGGCACTGAGGCTTTTCTCCCCCCAGGACTTGATCTCTTTATCTAGTGGGCTTGAAAATGTTGGCTTACAACTTTAAAGAAGTGGCCACTCACTATTCTGGGGGGGAGGTGGCTTAATTTCAGGACTCCCAACTCCAGACCCGCCCTGAGACTCCCCTCCATCGAATCGCGAGTGCTCGTTGGTTCTGGAAACCAGTCGTGGCTTTTCAACCGAACGTTGCCCCAACCGGTGGCCACTTGCCGAAATCAGTGGCCAGCCACCGACGTCTCAGGGAAAGCGGCCTGCGCCCCGCATGCAGCATTGACATTTTAGCCATTAAATTTTCTAACAAGCGCCAGCCAAAGCTCTCGTGTGGTTTGGTTTCGCCGGCGTCTCTCGAAGTCGCGGGCGCCTGTAACTCTTCGCTTGCCGCGGCTTCGCTTGGCCTCTGCCTTTGTTCCGGCGACCGAATTACTTCTGCAGCGCCAGTGGGTGACCGCGGGGGCATCGCTTTGCCGCTCTGTGCCTCGGTTTCCCCAAGCTGCAGGATGGGATTAATGATCGCGACCTGCGGGGTAAGATGTACTGATTGTTTTGACATGTACTGATGAAAAGCCCTTCCTAAGCTGGGGGATGGGTAGTGGTGTGTGTGTGTGTGTAGCTTTGCAAAATCTCCCACAATGCACTGGAGGGGCAGTGTGAAGGGGAATCAATTGTCCGTCCCCCTCGCCCCCCAGGGGCCATGCCCGAGACAGAGCGTCCACCCCCCCGCCCGCCCTGCAGAAGCCCCTCTGCCCACTGAGCCCAAAGACAGCGTCTGCCCCCCAAGCCCTCCAAGACAGATCACCCCCTCAACACAGGAATTTTGGTGCTTACTGCCCCCCCCCATCCCTGGGGTATCTGTCCCATGCCCCCCCTCTCCCAGAGCATCTCAGTATCCTTCCCCCAAATCTCCCCGCATGGGGCTCAGCTTGATTTAGCCACACATTCCAGGCCCTGCCCATTGCACGTGTAGGGGGGGAGCCAAACTGGGAGGAGGGCTTGAGGTGCCCCCTAGCCTCCCCCATGGGAGTTTGAGGTGGACAGGCCGGGGGGGGGATCTATCTCATCTAGCTCCCCCCCAAAGAGTCAGAGCTGAGGGGGGGGGGTGTTTTCCCACCAACCGTCTCTGCTAAGCGGGGCAGCTCTGGCCCGGGGGTGGTGGTGGTGAAGATCGGGGGGGCAGAGGGAAGGGGAGGCAGTGCCCCTCCCCCATGGTCATGGGGCAGGTTCAGGAGCTGGGAGTCTGAGGGGGGCAGTAGGGCTGTGTGGGGGGTGTGGATGAGGGTTTGGGAGGGGCAGATGGGGAGGAAGCTGGGGCGGGGCTCTTTCCCCTGTAGCCATTGTCCCCCCCCCCCAACAGTCGGCCATCTTTGCTGTGGGCAGCATGGCCTCAGATTTCCACCGTCCCCCTTTTAGGCAGCGGGTTCTAGAGAGACCCCTCCGTCGCCCCTTCTTGGCCCGGGCCGTTAGGTGCCAGGCGGGGCCCTGTGGGTTGTTTCACTGGGGAACAGAAACAGATGGTCTGAATCTTGTGTTTCCCCCCTGGCGCCGTCCCGTTTGCTTGCGAGGAAGGTGTGCCGAATCCCGTTTCCAGCAGGACCAACCAACCACAGGCAGATGTCTCCTTCCTCACAATGTCAAGTCCACCTTCCCCGTGGGTTCTGGGCCTACCAGAAGCTCACTCTTCGCTGGCTTTCTGCTCTCTTTTGCGCCGCTTGCTAAACCAGCCCATAGTCCCTGGGTTATTTATTGCTGCCTTGGGCGGTGGCTTCTTTTGTTTACAGTATCACTGTGTAAACATGGCATTTAATTGCTCCTTCTCTCTAGGTCAAAGCCCGGCTTCATCGAATCTAAGCCCAGACGGGACCATTGGGATCACCTAGCCCGACACAGGTCATAGGGTTGCCCTGAAATAACTCCTGTGCGAACTAGAGCAGATCTTTTAGGGAAAGGGCCCATCTTGATTTAAAAATGGCCACTGATGGGGAATCCATCGGTCATTCCGGTGGTTAATTCCCCTCCCTAGGAACAATTCACACCTTCTTCCCAGTCGGGATGGGTTTGGCTTCAATGTCCAGCCGTGGGGTGGTGTCAAACTAGACTGAATCAACAATTATCCCATTTCCCTTCCCCATGGGGGGCCTATACCCTCGGGCCCCTCTAATCCCTCCGTCTCTCTGTGTGGCCAGGAGGCTGGACCCAGGCATGCGGAGCAGAGAATCTCTGGGGGGGGGGGGGGGGGACACGCCACTGCCCCTTGGGAGCACAACCACCCTGGCCCCAAACACTCCTGCTAATGGCTGTACCCCAGGATTGAACCCCCAACACTGAGAGCAACTGCCCCTGAGCTGGGTACGTTGGGCTCCACGCGGAGCAGCCACTGGAAGGCGCTGGGGTATCGGGGGAGGGGGGCTGAGGGTGAGTTTAGGGAGAAGGTTCGGGGGAGGGGGCCTGAGGGTGAGTGTTGGGGGGCAAGTTTGGGGGCAGGGGGCCGGGCAGGCTCGGAGGAGGGGGGCTGGGCTGCACAGGGGGCAGGCTCGG